GGTTGTGAATAACATTGGTTTAACCTGAAATTTAAAGCCAGCATTTCTTTGCTCCCCGAGACAGAGCTTCCTGCCCCTTGCTCCCCTGAAGCTAGCTTCCAGAATGTTAATTCTACGAGCCATGGTTGACTAAGCCCAGCACTGGGTCTATTACATATTATTTGATTTGGAGTAGAAAAAAAGATTTAAAGATACCATGCCCCCTGTATACCTTTGTACTTTCGCCCATGTCTGTCCACATATTTAAGCATACCATTCACATTGCGAGTTCAGATTTTTCTCCCTGGAATAGAATAGGTCCGAATGCCTCTGGAGCCTGTCTCCGAGCCCATACTCCTCCATGAAGTCAGACAGCATCGTTGCGGATGAAAAACCGTCATGAACGTGTCCCCTGGAGCCTGGAGTTTCAGACGGGTCCTCGTGCAGGGGTGGTTTTCTGGTGTTCATTTTTGTAGCTTTCTCTTGCATGTAATCTGTTTGGCTTGTGCTCACCCACTGTGTGCGGCACTCAGAGGCGGGTCAGCTGTGTGCCTGGCCTCTGAGAACCGCGAGCCTTTTTGTCAGAGCACTTGTCTTGCTTGGCCCTTGCACCTCTACTGGTCTGATTATTTTTCAGTTAACGTTTGCCTCTTCCACTGGACATCACTCCGTAAGGACAGGGCTGGTCCAGCTTTTGTTCATTACTTTGTGCCCAGCTTTAGCCCAGCGCCTGCTCAGTAAGAGCAGAATGGTTGAGAGAAGAATGAATGAATGAACGCGATCAGATGGAGGGATTGTGACAATTGCAGACAAGACCTAGGGAGTGAAGGTGGTATTACTAATTTGTTCATTTATCCTGCAAATTATTGTCTCCTCGACAGAGATGAATTAACTGTGGTGTTTCCCCCCAAGATAGCTAATAGTGCTGTGTGAGAGTGAAGAGCCCTGGGGCTTGACTCCTAAGATGAGGGGGAAAGTGGTCAGATGGAGAAATGAATTGGGCATGAAGGAAGACATCCTGGAGGAGGCAGCATGCATGCACATGGTTAGTGTTTGTCCTGGCACAAAGGTATATGACACTGAGAAATGGTTTACCTTACATATGGGCTCAGTGGATCACCTCTGGCAGACAGGCTGACTCCAGGCATCACCTTCAAATGCCCACAAATGCAAAATTCATCTTGCCAGTTCCTAGTCTTTCCAGACATTGGGAGCAGGGTTTAGAAAGCACAGCCTGATCTAAAGGAACTAGTGACTCAATCCCTAAGACTGAGAAATGTGGAGGGTGATTGTTTGCCCAGCCCTATCCCAAGGCTCCCTACTCCTTCCTCACTGAGGCTCTGATTATCTCTGGATTTTGTGGCCTCTGTGGCTGCCTGGGGGGACCCCTGCCTGCCTCTTCAGTATCTCTGGGGGTCTCTTTCCCCCACTCCCTCTGTTCCTTTCATCTCTTCCTCTCTGGGTGTCTCCTCTGCCTGGCACACCCTTTCCACCCCACCCGCCATTTGGTCTTGCTGGCATCTTGTCCTCTACTCTCTGTTCAAGCAAGATTCCCCTTTGGAAGGCTTCCCTGACTCCTCCCCGTGAGGTCGTTACTCATGATCATATGAATATATTTTTACACTTTTCCTACTTAGCACTAATCACAGTTTGTATTCATATCTATTTGTGTGAGTACTTGACTAAGGTGGGCTAGCCTTTCTATTTTGGATCATCACTGTATCCTTTGTTTTTTGTTTGTTTAATATTACCTGGCACAGAGTAAGCACTTTGTCAATATCTGTTCAATGAATAAGTGATCAGAGTGCCCCAGGCCTTCTTAAGGAAAGACAGACTTTCGGCATCTATGCAAAGTGGCAGGGCAGATGTCACCTCCCTCCCTAGGAGAGAAAGCAGGTAGAGGTGCTGGTTGGGTGGGAGCAGCAAGAGGGATCACAGTGGGGGGGTGTGTCCAGAGAGGTGGCTCTTCCCACCTTGCAGACCCCCACTCGGAGGTCACCAAGACAGCCTGGACATCCCCCGGGGCTCATCCCACAGTGCTGTGGGTGACTTTCAGACGGCCGGAGCAGGACGTGGGGAGCCTTCTTCCTGTAAAATGTAGCACAGGCCTGTGCTGGAGTGTGTGTGGTGTCCTGGGGGCTGAGCCTCCAAGGACCCCCAGTGCGTGCACTTGAGTTGGCATGCCTTCTGGGCCTGTACTCTGTGCCAGGCCCTACTCGGTGACCAGATGATGACTTTGCTCGCAGGAACCCTCAGCCGAGCCGCCCTGTCTGAGTTTCCTCGGTGGAGGTAAAGCGCTGCCTTTCCAGAGCTCTGAGATGTGTACAGAGCCCAGCCTGTGAATCCCATGGGAGAGGACATCTACAGAAGGACCGCCTGGCTGCCGGGGAGAGTCCCCGCAGAGGCAGAGACGGGGCATGTCTGCTGGGGCAGCCCGAGTGGTGGGGAGAAGTGGGCACTGCCCACCTGGGCTCAGTAGGGTGAGGCCTTGGCAGGAGTTGTCAGGAGGTGGCAGACAGGAGGGAGCCTTTGTTAGGAGTTTGGGGCCTGGCTGGTAGGATGGGGACTGCGGAGTACAAGTGAAGTTGGTAGACAGGGAGAAGTTCCATATAAGTGAACATTCTCTCTCTGACAGGGAGAAACTTGGTGGGAGCACTGGGGACCCAGGCCAAGATCAAGCTTTGGCAAGAGTGACCAGGGCCAGGATGACTGGCCAGAGCAATAGCTGAAGAGGAGCCAGCTGAGCCCTCTTCCCGTGTGTGTGTGTGTGTGTGTGTATGTGTGTGTGTGTGTGTGTGTGTGTACCTGTGCACACAAGGGACATTTGGTAGATGCCAGCCAGTGGGAGAACACTGCTGGGCAGACACAGACTGGGCAGTGAGCCCCCACATCCTGCTCGTCTTGGTTCCCTTGTGCAAATGATCCCCCTGCGGACAGGGATGACAGAAGATGGGGCTCCAAGGATGATGTCCCATAGGCAGGAGCAGGGAGCCGTCTCGTGGAGGGTCAGAGTCACAGGCTTCCAGAGGAGGCCCCAGGTTTCAGGCTGGAGGCCAACAGTTAGGGTGACCTGCTTCCTCCTTGGCCCCACATGTTGGGGTGTCTGGTCATTCAGTCCGCCGCCCAGCTTAGATCAAAATTGGATCTGGGATCCACTTTCTCAGGGGCCTCATGAGCCGCCTCTGAAGGCCCTTGGTGTAGAGGATGCTGGAGCTCTCTGAGCTGTCAGACTCCGTGGGGAACTCTTAAAGGCCAGCAGTCATGTGAACAACCAAAGCTGGTGTCTTTGTTCAAATGTTAGACCCTGTATTGCCATTGTACCCAGATAGGACAGTTGGGGAAGCACCCACTTGGGGCAGTATCTCAGTGACACAGTGTCCCACTGCTTCAGGCTCCTTGGTTTGGCTTCCTTCCTCACATGGGTGAGGTTTTGACATGACGGATGAAGTCTAGGGCAGCAGTGGGCTGGCAGGGTTGGGGGTGGGAGGGAGGACTGGGCAAGGCCTGTGTAAGGGCATCTGCTGGGGAGAGACCTGACACGTGCTGGTTCCCCCCTCTCAGGGCTTCCCAATGGCAAAGGCAGAGCCTGACCTGTGGCCCTGGGGTCCAGCCGTGTCTCTGGGCAGCCCTGCAGGAGTAGCTCGATCCCAGACGGCCTTGGGGAATGATGGCCCCGAGGCCATTTCCTCACTGGAAACTTTTGCCCTCCCATTTTGAATGGTTCAAGCCCAATGCCCACAAAAGATATTTCAACACATTTCCTTTTTTTTAAGTTGATAATTTGTAATATTTTCTTTTAAATGTAGACATCATCACCAGAGACTGTTACAGTGTGAAGAGCTAACAGTACAGAACCCATAGAGAATTTAATCCTGTACTTTCTTGGTAATTTACATTTTTGGATAGGCAACACATTTAAAGTTCTACAACAAACCAAAGCAAAGCAAAAGAAAAGAAGCATGCTATGAAAAGTCTCCCTCCTCTTTTGCCTCCATCCACTTAGTTCCTAACTCCCTAAATGGGTAACCACTCTAAATATTTTTTGTGTTGCTTTCCAGAGTTTTATGTATGTACGTACACACACATACAATGCATATGAAGTCTTATTTTCTTCCTTTTTCACACAAACAGTTGTATATTATACACGCTGGGCTGTACCTTGTTTACTGTTTTTCACTTAGCAATGTGTCTTGAAGATCTTTCCGTATCAACTCAGAGGGAGTCCTCTTCCCTTTTTGCTGCTGCACAGTATTCCGCCGTGTGAGTGTATCATAACTCATTTGACCAGCTCCTACAAAAAAACTCTTGGATTGTTTCCAGTTTTTGGCTACTAGAATCTTGTACATATATCACTTCCAACATGTGTAAGTCTGGCTATAAAATAAATTCCCAGAGGTGCTCTATCAAAAGGAACTTGCATTTGTGATCTTGATAGATTTTATCAAATTGTCCATCACAGGTGTGTGACCAGTAGACCCCTGCCAGAACTGCATGAGAGCATCTGTTTCCCTATAGCTTTCCTAACACAGTGTTTTATTGGCTGGTCACATGATGTGGTGGCAAATGTCCCAGGTAAAGACATCAGCTCTGGGACAAAACTGTACTTCCAAGGGGATCTTCAGTGCAGGAGAGGCAGTGGCACCTGGTGATTAAGCCTCTGAGTCCACCTGAGCTCCACTCCTCAGGCAAATCACTTAATCTCTTTAGGCCTCGATTTTCTCATCTGCAAAGTGGGGGAACTAACACCATCTACACTGGGTTCATTATGCAGATTAGATGTGATGATGCAGGCTTCACGCCGTGCCTGGCACGTGGCTGTGAGAGGCTGGCTCTGCGCTAACCTGTAGGCTGACCTTGGCCAAAGACCCACCCCATCGTCTGAGCCCCTGTTTCCTGTCTCTCAGGCAAGGAGCTGAGCTTTGGGGTCTCTCAGACCCTCTTCCCAATCCAGGGTCTGACATGTCTTTCCTCAGCGGCTTGCGTAGCCTGCACTCACCCCTCCTCTCTCATGCTCATCAAAGGTATTCAGGAATCTCCTGTGCCAAACGGTCACTCACTGCCGGGCAGAGATTTCCTCCGGAAGCAGATGCGGGGAGACCTGTTCACGCAGCAGCAGTTGGAGGTGCTGGACCGCGTGTTTGAGAGGCAGCACTACTCGGAAATCTTCACCACCGCGGAGCCCATCAAGCCTGAGCAGGTATGCCCCAAGACTTGCTGCCCCAACACCCACCACTCGCATGCAGGCCTGGGTCACCCCTGTAGAAGGCATCGGCGGGATGTGGGTGACAGCGCCAGGTTCTACTCATTCTCACCCAAACTCAGCCAGTGGCAGCATCCCACTGAGGTCCGGAGGACATGTCTGGGGCTCCTGTGACTTCTTGCCTGGTGCCTCTGTCTCTCCGGCCAGTGGGGCGTGTGGAGTGTCTGACTGCTGTGGCACTGCAGAGTGATGGTGTCCTTTCCCTGGGGTCTTCACACACGGTGGGGTAATGATCTTCTGGGCCACTTGAGGTGGTCTTGGGTCATTATCCTGTCAGTCAGGGTGCAGGTGGAAATACGTAAGCATCGTCTGGTCATAAACCATGGTATAAGGGCAATGATGTGTCCCACTGTCAGCCCTCTCGTCACATTTTCCTGTCATGCTTTTAGAACTGAACCCAGGAATCTGGAAATGAAGTGTCTCACTGGACAAACTCCCAGCTGGGTCATTTGCAAGAGAGGGAAGAAAGCAGGACGGCCCCCTGCTGAGCAGCCCCCTGCTCTAACCTGGGCCGAGTCGCAGTCACTGCGTATGGCTGTGGAGATGGGACCAGAAAGGCTCTGCCCAATGAGAGGCTCTCAGGGTCTGGATAGGGTCCCCAAAGTACCGGATTTAATTCAGGAGACGGTTTCCTGGTGCCCCCTCTGTGACAGGCCCTGGGCTGGACACCTCGCAGGCGTGGGCAGCTCGGGCTGGGCTCCTGCCTGCTGAGAGCTCCCATCTGGTGGGAGAGTCAGAGGGGCCCATGAGCAATGACTTTCCCCAGCACTTGCCGGCTGGTCCTGGTGCTGAGGACTGGCCTCACTGAGCTTCCTTTACATGCTAATTAGATGATGCTTCTCAAGTTTTCCCAAAGAGCCACTCAGAACAACATAGGCTGCCTCCACAGGCTCCCAGGGAGAGAAAAGGTGCTGGCAGGGACCGTGGGTGGGGAGGAGTGAGCGAGGCCTCGGGGGCCACCATCCTATGACAGTCTGGTTGTCTCTGTGCAGCTCCCGTGCGGGCTCTCACAGACCTTCTAGCCACTTCGTTTTTGGATGGGGAAACTCAGGCCCAGAGAGGCACAGAGACTTGCCTCAGGCCACCCAGCAAGTTATGTAGTTACTTAACAAGCGCTAGTGAATGTTGACTATGTACAAAGCATGGAGCCAGGCACTAGGTATATGAAAAAGACAGGCTTGGACCTGCCCTCAGGGAGCCTATTAAGGTGTGGAAGAATCACAATAAAGAATGATTACTTGAAGGGTCATGGATTATAGATGTACTGGGTGCCGAGGAGGGGATGTCGGAGGTTCTCTGAAGGCACAAAGCAGGTGCTGAGCCAGCCTGGAAGCCACAGGGGCCTTCTGGGGGAAGAACACTTGTGCTGAGCCCTGAAGGGATGTGGTGGGGAGAATATGCCTGGCATATGGAATAGTGAGTGCAAAGGCCCTGAGGTGAGAGGGAGCGTTGCAGGAGTAAGGAATGGAAAGAAAGTGTGGCTGGGCTTTGGGGAACGGGCTGGGGAAGGCCGGGGGCTGATGCTGGGGAGCTGGGCCTGCTCTTGTAGACTATGCTCAGAATTTCGGTCTTTTTTCCTACAAGTTGAGTGACGCCTCCTCTGGGAATGACATCAGTCATATGTGCTGGCCAGAGCTGACCTCACACAAGCTAGGTCCTGCGCTTTAGGGAGAAGAGGCTGTTTCCATCGCAGACAGCTTCTCTCACTGCTCAAAGCCCTTCAGAGAAGTGGCTGAAGCCACATTCCATCTGACATAGGAGGAGAAAGAAAAGGGACTCGACCTGGAAACTTCCTTGGATGAGACCAATCTTTCCCTCCAGAACCTGGGAGAAAAGTTATCTTCTAACCTTTAATAAGATCACATAATTTTAGAGCCAGCAGGGACTACAGAGGCAAGCTATCAATCCCCTCATTTTTTAGAGCCCCAGAGAGGGAACAGGGTTTGTCTGAGGTCACTCATTGAGTGAGGGCAAGGCCTCTGCACAAAAAAAATCTGGTGTTTCTATTAAGCCTTTATCCACTTAATTCAGACATTCAGTGTCAGGGACTGTATTTCCCTCTGTTTCACGTGATTCTCATGGAAACTCAGAACCTAATCATAGTTCATTCAGCTCGGAATGCCCTGGGAAACTGGGAAGACCGTAGGGCTGCATACTCGGGAGGAGTCCATCCACCTGTCCATTCAGTCACCTGCTCAGACGCTCATATGCTTATTTATGCTTATTTCTTGCACAGTGGCTGTGAGTCTGGCACAGTGCCTGCACCCAGGGGAGGGAGGATGGGATGAGTCAGACACCAGCTCAGCCCACAGCCTCAAAGGGGCAATATGATGTAGGGTAAGGGTCTGTGGGCCCTGATGAATGGAGACATCGCCTCAGCTGGGAGCATCAGGGAGGATGTCATGGAGGAGGAGCCGTTGGGGGACAGTTCGAGAGGCCCATGGGGAGATGGGTCTCGGGGGAGAGACCTGACTTACAGACTCTGTGAGGGCTCCATTTGCAGCAGTCTGGCTGTGCCGTGTCCTTCAGGATGACGCGGACACACTGCGGGCCTGTCTCTGACTGTGTGGGCTCTGAGGCGGGGCCTTCTGGTGGGATAATGACTGACTCAGTGCTTTCTGGTTAATCTGCTTCATCTCCCCGTAATGGGCCGTAATGAGGAGAGATGGGAGGTGAGGCCGTGGGGGTGCCAGGCACACACACACAGGCACTGGACTATGAATGACATACCCTAGCTCGCCATTCCCAATCACTTTGGACAAATGACGGCCAAGCAAGGGCCCGCAGGCTGGGAAAGAATGCGCATCAAGGGTACAGGTTCCTCGTGCCCCTTGTGCCCGTTGGCGGCCTTACCTTGTGAGCCCCAGAATGCACGGCAGTGGTGCCAGGAAGGGGCCGGCACTTTTGCCATTTGTGAGCATATCTGGTCTCCAAGGTCTAGTGGCAGCTTGTGGGGAAGAATGAACATTTACTGGCCTTGGAATTGGGGGAGTTGGACTTGAGTCCAGCTTCTGCTCTGCTGGGCAAGTCGCTTTTTCTCTGGACCTGTTTCCATACCTGGGGTGGTAGTAATTGTGATTTTGATGACACAGCCTAACAACAGCAGCAGTGATCCTCACCTGCTTGTGATCCTGTACAGTTTTCAGAGCTCTTTCCCATCCATCCTCTCTTCAGAGTCTCCATGTAAATATCTGCTATGCAGGCTGGGCAAGATTTGTGAGCCCCATTTTACAGATTGGGACTTTTTTTAGTCATTTCACCCCACTTTCAGGGCCAAAAGGCTTCTGTAGAGCTGGAATCCGACCTCAGGACCTTTTGTTCATCTTGTGCAAGATGGTTACACGGGTCTCCATGTCCCCGAACAATACTAGGAGCCAGATTTCTGACTGGCTGGTTTTCAGAGCTAGCCTTTGGCAACCAGAGTCTGCCAGTCATTCCAGAGCCCTCAGAGTCTTGCCATAGGCTTGAGTGGTCAAATCCTTCTTAATCATCCTGCCCACCCTCCCATGGGAAGAACCTCTATCTCTTTAGGGTGAGGTTGGGGTTCCGCTTGTCACTTTCACAAGCTCAGAGCCCACCTGGCTGCTTTTCCCACCAAGATCTGCCCCAGTGGGATGGACCCAGGCTTCTCTCTTTTATATGGGAACTTAGTAAACCCTTGTCCCTGGGTGGAAGGGGTTAATGTACAGGCATCCTGGGACAATGAAACACTTCCTTCTCAAAATGGTTATTGAAAAAGCAATTCTGTTTTTTTCTACATGTGAAGTAAGTAAAAATCACCTTGAAGGAGAAAAGGAAAAAAAAAAGAAACAACGGCGGGTGGTGTGAGTGCGTGTGTCTTTCCAACAGTGAAATCTGTTTCAGTAAAACTCGCATTGACGCTGTCGTGGACGCCACGCTCCTGGCGGGAGCTGGTCCCTCCTCTGGCCGAGGCAGGAAGGCCGCCACCGAGCACAGCCTGCTGTATTTACTCTCGGCAGACTATTAACCAACACCAGGCTATTAATCTGGCTTTTGAGCCTTCACTAAAGCCCATAAAAGCTCACAGTTGTCAAATGGAGTTCATTTTAATTTCCTTTCAATCACAGTAAATTATTCAGGTGATAAATCAGCTGGAGCAGCCTCCTGGCTGTAATAGAAACCCTAATTCCTGGCTAATTATCCAGCCCATTGCTGCCAACAGATCAATACGGGCGCAAAATGGAACGGGCCCAGGGCCCTCCCTCCCATCGGGCCAGAGGCAGAAAGACAGCTGGGGAAGGGGGACGTGCTGCTGACCTCCCAGGAAGTTCAAAGGTCACGGGGGTTAAACCGGGAGAAGGCCTGTCCGTTGTCTAACAGAGAAGCCACCAGAAATGCCTCCTGCTCTCAGGAGCCGCTTTACCCTCTGATTGGTGGTATTTCTCCAGACTGGTGGGCCTGCGACTAAGCATTGCCTACTCGTGTGGGCGTCTTCTTCCTGGGACGGGGCTGGTTTGTGTTTCTGAGCATGACTGAACTTTGTCATCAGGCATGGCCTGAACACTCTGAGTCAGAAAAAGGGCTGTAGGCTATGAGGGAAAAAGATAAGGTTCTGGATATACTTCCTTTCTTCAGGGAGCTCCAGGTGGAGAGCAAGTAGGGAGAGAAGAGGATGAGGAGACAGCTGTGCCAGGCTGAGAATGAAGGAAGGCTTCCTGGAGGAGGTGTCATTGGTGCTGTGCCTTGAGGGATGGGCAGGATCCAGCTCTGTGGAGATAGTAGAGAGTTGGCTGGAGAGGACATTCTGGGCAGAAGGAACAGTGTGGGCAAAGGTGTGGAGGGATGCAAGTATGGCAGGGAACTAACTGTAGGCTGGTCTAGGCGGTTGGAATATGATCTGAGTGAAGGAAAGTCAGGGACACTGGGGCTGGAAAAGCCAGAAGGACCTAAACCCTAGAGGGCTGGAATGTGGAGGT